AATAAGAAGAAAAAAGCGGACAAGATGAATAACTCAATAGGTGAGTGTTGTGAATTGCCAAATTGTCTGAATATAAAGGATAAAAAGATTTGTCCACTTTTGAATGGAAAATCAGGTCAGAACTCTCTTGTTGTCCAACAGATGATGTATTTCTGCCCAAAGACATTGATTTGGACAGTGTAGACATGGACGAGACCGAACGTGAGGTGGAATATTTCAAAAGGTACTGTTTGATATTGGTAATGTTTTTCTCTGGCATCCATGACCTTTTGTTCCCCAACAAATGAATTTTTTACCCTTTTTGCAGGTTCTGCTTGGACTCAGCGCGACAGACAAGGCAGAGGTTGTCCATCAACTGGTCCAATTTTAGCTTGAAGAAGGCCACGTTTGCTGCCCACTAATGGGTCTTCCTTTCAAGAGACAATGGCAGGAATCGATAAGCGTTCCTCCGGTTTCTTCTCTCTCTCCCATGTTTCTACAGACTGACTGCTGACCCCAGTGCTGCTATGTTTCAACTGCTCCTCTGGTCTACATTATCCATGCCGCCTTGCCTTGTCCTTGTTGCTATGGGTTCCGCAAAGAACCCAAAATGGGCTTATATTCCTGCAGTACTTCTGGAGAGAAAAAAAAAGAGCAAAGTCAAAAAATAACAACAACCACAAAATGCTACTCTATAAGTTTATCCCTATTATTTTGGTTTCCCTTTCTTCTTTTAAAAAGCGTGTGTGCTTTTTGTCAGTGAGTGGACCGTTTCCCTTAGGTCTGTGCCATGTTCTGGGTTTTCTCTGGCTTTATGTACATTAGGATGAAGGCACTGCAAAAGACATGCTTCAGTGGAAAAAAAAAAGATGAATATGAAAAATTAAAAGATCCTTTAATTCAGATCAGCTGTGGCTTTGCTCACCTTTGCACCTAGCACTGCACTTCCTCACAACTCGTCAAGAGAATCGGACTGGTCAGCTTCACGTCATTGCCCCGAATCTCTCCCTTTATTGGGAGAACGGCTAATACTTGACAATGTTCACATCGGTTTTTCAGTTCCATTTAAAATTGTTCTGTGTAACAACTGTGTTCAAGTTACCATTTTATTTTTTTTTATTCTTTTTTTCCAACTTGTACCAAGCTTGTATCAGAATACTTTCAGAATCGAATCGAAAAGAACAATACTCACACTATCAATCTGTTATAGAGTGTATATTGTATTAACACTGAAGCCGGACTGGCTACTTTTTAACATATTGTTAAGTAATATTAAAATCTTGTCTTTCTTTTTGAAAGATGGAATACAGTAGCGTGGCAGGACATTTCTGTGTCTGTCTCTTTTTTTCTATTTGGGTCCATCTCATAACACTTATCAAATTCCTAACCTTATCCAATCAAGGAGAAATACAAAACCGACTGCAGATCAACATGAAAGGAGCAACCTAACACCCCTAATTTGCATGACTTGGCACCTTGCAACAAGTCCATCCCCATCGTTCTGGTAAGTGTTTACAGTTTTACATTGGCTGCAACTAATTACTTCAGCAATCATAATGGTGATAATAATAGATATGCAAACATTTTGGATAATTTGCTCAAAATTTGAGGTGAAGTCATTTTGAATAATTTTAGGTTTATTTTGCTTGGTTTTCTTTCCTGTGACTTTATTACCAGTGTGTTGCAGGTCGGTGAAACTATTCTTTCCAATCCAAACACTGAGCATCACTGGAAGCAGATTATGCAGTATTGTTGCTGCTGAGGTAAGTGCATGTTGAAAGTGAAAATTTCAGATTTTACTACTTGCCCTATGTGACTCCTCTTCCTAATTTGGGAATTTTGGTGCAATATGGTTAATTTGAGCTAACCTTTGCCTGATGCATTCTGGAGACCCATTTTTTAGAAGACTGAAATAAATCCATTGAGATTTAACAATTATTTTAATCATTTGTAAAATGTTAAAAACAATTTTTATTTTTTACAATCATAGAGATTGGTCAGAAGTTAGATTTTTCTTTGTGTATGAGGTGACAGCGTTTAGAGGTGTATATATATGATTTTGGCTTTTTCACTTCAAAATTGCAACAAAAAGTGTGATTACCTCACTCTCCAAAAAATGTATTAGAATCCTGTTTTAAAATGGGAGGGAGGGCATATTTTTAACCTTAGAAACCACTTGACAGACTATTTCTGTACTTATGACTCCCACAGAAAGGGAACTTTTGTCACTCCGTCATCGTCAAGCTTTGTTTTATGTAGGGCTTTTTTTTTTTTTCTTCACTTCCTGTCAAAAAACTTTTTCGCTGTGGTGGAACGCCTACCTCCTTTTTAGCGTGTAACAAAGAAACAGCTATAACAGGTTAGATGAACTGTTGCTTGTCTTGTTCTGGAAGAGATTATCTAATTTCAATAATTGATAGAACATATTTAAGCATATTTTTACACTGTCATGTGATTCTAAATGGCAAGCATAAAGTATCACGGTTTCCAGAAAAATATCAAGCTACATGTGTCAAGCCATGTTAAACAGTGATAATAAAAAATATTTCTTGAGCAGCAAATCAGCATATTAGAATGATTTCTGAAGCATCATGTGACACTAATGATGCTGAAAATCTAGCTTTGCCATCACAGAAATAAATTACATTTTAAAATTTAGAAAATAGTTGTTTTAAACTGCAATGTTATTTTACAGTATTGCTGTTTTTATTGTACTTTTGATCAAATAAATGTGAAATTTTCTTTAAAAACAAAAGCATTTTAAAACCAATAGTGTAAGAAAAATGTTATATTTTAGTGCAGTAATTTTAAATGTTATAGTAAACTAAAAAAAATTAAAAAATAAATCACTTAATTAAATCTATGTATTTATATAATTGAAAACTGACCACGTGTTTGCCTGGAAAATCGGAGAATGAACAATGGGAGATTTTGTGAAACTCCTGGTAGTGCTTTTGTAAGTCTGCCCAGTTTTAGTCACCCATGATGCAATGCTGGAGTTACCTCATTTATGTAAAATATTTTTTAGTACGACATTTCTGGTTAAGGCCAGATTCACTTTGTATTTTCAACATGAAGTTTAAAATAGTTGTTTTGACTGAATGAGAAGTGCAACTACACAAGATGATATTTCAGTACGTAAAAATAAAATAAAATAAATTAAGAATCTTGTCTCCCATACTAAAAATCAGCAAAAAATGTGTCTTCCATATGACATTTGGATATTATCAGTAGAGTGCAAGATAAATTGACTTGGCATACACATCCAAATTTTTAACTCTGGAATACGTGTGGAGCCTAGTCGTCTACAGTCAGTCTTCCAAAGCAGGACTTGGACAATAACATGGTCGTAAAGAAAGTAAGAACTGGGCTTATTAGAGAGAAATCAAAGATCGGAGATGAGATAGTGTAGTTTGTAATCACTGGTGAAGATCTTTTCATTGAGGATGGCCCAGAGCTGGGGAGAAACTCAGACAGCTCAAGAGGGAAAACCCCCATCGTTCCACATACTGGAACTGACAATAGCGTTCTGTCTAAGCGCTGATCGCTCTTATCAAAAAAAATAACACAACAGGCCATGATAACTCTAGCATAGTCGGTAACAACAACAATCTGTTAAATAAGGTGCTGCTCTTCCAAATAAGCGTTGAAGTTAGCCAATGCTCGGGAATTCCCTGCTTTAAAAGATTAAAGGCTACATTTATCCGTTTTGGCATGGCGTTCCTCTCAGAACAACACGGCGGGTAAAGTTAAGGATAATAATGGGTAAACAAGCTCCACCATGCATGATAGGCTACTTCGGATTTTTCTTCTTGTGCTGGTGCTGAATTTTTATATATCAGTTGTGGAGCTAATTGTGTAAGTGACATTTGGTCTTTCTGTGAATAGTTTTACTGTAAAAGTCATGTGATCATGCGACCAAATTATTTCCACTTTCTGAAGGTGGATTGTGGTGTGTGTGTGCTTTTCTGCAGTAGATGTGTGGGTCTCACATTATTGTAGGTGTGTATAAAGTGTGTATGTGGGGAATCCCTTCCAGCCTACCTTTCACTTCTCCAAGGAAAGGTTTTCGTAAAAAAGAACAAAACTACAGCGGGGCCCACACATCCATCACTTCAGCTTTTCACATCTCCAGTTACGTTCTTCACAGCAACACGATCTTCTCTCTGACTTCAAAACAAATGACTCCTGCAGGTAGAAAAATGACACGCCACAGCCACGAGCATCTACCAAAGTGTATGCTTGTGCTTGAGCGACGTCATTTCGAGAGTGGTGACTTGACTGAAGTAGAGAGCATGAAACTCCTGTTGGAGTTTTCCCTCCTACCCCCGTGGCAGCTAGATAGGGTCGTGCGTCTGAGCTCATCAAGGGTTTATTGACTCAGGGGACTGTGATGCTCTTTTACATGTCTGACGTGATCTTGTATATAATCTGAATATGGGCCTGTACTTATGACCAGTTTCCCAGATATAACACAAAGGTGTTGATTAAAAAAAATTTCTAGGGAGATATTTAGGAGCCAAATTACATGTTGAGTTGGCAATTCAATTAACAGAATCACTCTTCAGAAACCACTTTAGTGATCCTTGTTTTATAAATATTATATGTGACCCTGGACCACAAAACCATTCAATTCATAAGGGTCAATTTTTTGAAATTGAGATTCAGCTGCAGGGACAGGACGACTGGTTGCAATCGAGGGAAAGATGAATGCGGCCAAGTACAGGGATATCCTGGGCGAAAACCTTCTCCAGAGTGCTCAGGACCTCAGACTGGAACTAAGGTTTACCTTCCAACAAGACAATGACCCTAAGCACACAGCTAAAATAACGAAGGAGTGGCTTCACAACAACTCTGTGACTGTTCTTGAATGGCCCAGCCAGATCCCTGACTTAAACCCAATTGAGCATCTCTGGAGAGACCTAAAAATGGCTGTCCACCAACGTTTACCGTCCAACCTGACAGAACTGGAGAGGATTTGCAAGGAGGAATGGCAGAGGATCCCCAATTCCAGGTGTGAAAAACTTGTTGCATTTTTCCCAAAAAGACTCATGGCTGTATTAGATCAAATGGGTGCTTCTACTAAATACTGAGCATTTTTCAGTTTTTCTTTTTTAATAAATCTGCAAAGATGTCAACAATTCTGTGTTTTTCTGTCAATATGGGGTGCTGTGTGTACATTAATGAGGAAAAAAAATTAACTTAAATGATTTTAGCAAATGGCTGCAATATAACAAAGAGTGAAAAATTTAAGGGGGTCTGAATACTTTCCGTACCCACTGTATATAGATGTAATAGAGTCCTGCAGTGGTGACTTATTTTTGTAGGCCAACCTGAAAGTTCACAGTCACTCTGGTTCACTCAACAAAAACCCAATAGATTTTCCATTGGATTATTGCGGAAAATAAGCTCTGTGACCGTCAAACGTCTAAGATTCTTACATGTTTTGTTCTTCGTTCACAAATTAACACAACTTTTAAGTATTTTGAAGGCTAAATGTAGGCTATACTACTAAGTGCCTACTCTTTCAATTCATAATTTTATAAGAGTTACAATAGTTTTCATAAGTGTGATTATAAACAAAAAATAGTGAGTTTAACTGTTTATCATGACCAGTATGTGGAAAATAATGTGTTTTTTGAACCTTAAACCGCATAAACATATTGCATTACACCAAATACACAAAATAATGTTCTTTTTAGCAATGTCATATGACCCCTTTAATGTCCGCTACAACCTCTGTAATCCCATTTAGACACTTGTTAGCAACCACCTTGTTCAAGAGAGGTAAAAATAAATTGCAAAGAGGTATTACTGAGGGTATTTTATGTCATAGATTAAGTGTAAAAAAACA